TTTATGTCTAGTATTCTTTTTCCTAGTAAAACATGGTTAAAACTACAAATTCTCCATCTATTGTCCTTCAGTCATGTCCCATACATTCTCAAATACTAGTTTTAAGTAAATTCTAATATGAAATAATTGCTGGTGCTTGAAATATTTAATACATGTTCTAAACATATGTGATTATTTTTTAGCTCTTTTGTTATTTATTACATTATTGTCAGAGAATGTATTCTATCGGATGCTGCTGTCTTAGACTTTATTAAGGTTGGCCTTTATTGACTAATCATACTATTTTTAAAAAACATCTTCCATGGAGAATTGAAAAGAAAAACTATACGTGTGGATACCAACACACTTACTGATTATATTATTCAGATCTCTGTTTTCGTCTGCTTGATTTGTCAGCTCTGTTAGCATAGTGGCTAAGGCACTTGACTGCTAACCAGAAGGCTGGAGGTTCAAACCCACCAGCCACTCCTCAGAAGGATGATGGGGCAATCTACTTCCATAGTGATACTGCCTCGGAAACCCAAGGAGGGGTCGCTATGAGTTGGGGCCAACTTGACGGCACATAACAATAACAACAAGTATAATGTATTAAAATCTCCTGCTATAGTTGTTTATTTCTCACTGCCATTCTGTTGGCTATATATTTTGAAGTTGTGTTGTTATTTACTTATTTATTTATGATTGTTACATCTTCTTGCCCCATAGTTCCTTTAACTTGTATGTTATCTTCTTCTTTTGTCTTAGGATGTTTTTTGCCTTAACTTCTACTTTAGTCAGATAATAAGATTGCTACATGAGCTTTCTTTTAGTTCGTATTTGTACCTTTTTTGCATATATTTATTTTCACCCTTTCTATGTGATTTTGAAAAAAATCTGACTTGATTGTAGTCAATTTGGTTGTTTTTTTTCTTTAATGTGATTTTGTATTAAATGTATTTTTTTGTAGACAATATATTTTTAGAGTCTGTTGCTTTGATCCAGTCTGATAACTTTTGTTTTTTAATTTCTGATTTTAACTGATTCATCATTTTATTTTTATTTAGCAAATTTTTTTGTTCTGTTTCATTCTCTTTTCCTGATCTTCACTGTAGAGTTCATATTTTCTTCTATAAATCTAAAAGTTATGCATTCTTATTAGGTATCTTCTATGATGGTCATCCTTAAGACAAACACTCATGTTTATTCTCTCCTATTGATTTTTTAAACTGATTTTCAATATCTGAATCTTCCTCCTCCCTCTCCCCCTTCAAGACTGACATCCTTTTGCTCCACATCACTTCCTCAAATTCCAGCATCGGAATATAGATCATTAATTCTGGTGGAAATACTGCCTTTTTCAGTTCTGGGTCTTTATTTTTTTCCTTCAGGAAAATAATAAACTTTATCAAGGAATTTGTCACCTTTACTTCCCCTGTTGACAGCATGCTTCTGGATTTGTGTTTTATCGTATTTGAGTGTTTTCAGTTTAGGCCTCATTTTAGCAAAATTTCTGAAACAATATATTCTTGAGACTATTTCAGCATGTCCTCACATTTCAAATCTGTCCTGGACGAAGTGTACCCTGAATGCTCCTTGGAAGTGAGCATGGCCAGACTTCGTTTCACATCTTTTGGTCATGTCAGAAGG